TCACTTTTTTATCAGATGTAAAATGAGAATAATGGAAACTTCTTCCTAAATTTTTAGAAATATTTCACTACTTCCTAAACTCACTAAGGCAGAAAACTCCCTCCTTAAAAAAGCAAGGCTTCTGCAACTTCCTCTGCCTATATTTGACATGCCACTGACCACTGCATCTTCAGCCTCTTCCAACCAAATTTGTCAATTGGTAGAAGCCCTTCTCATTCAGCTCTCACAGAGATGAAATTCAGCATGTTTTAAGAGGAGAGTAACTGCTGGAACTCACCTCTAGGTCAGGGGTGGCTCCACATGGTGGAAAAGTCTCTCCTCCAACCCGTGCTTCCAAAGAAAGGCTCAGCAGTCTCTGTTGTCTGGTCTCAAGGCAGTTTATTGCAAGTTATCTAAAAGATCTTCTCCTTGAGCTGCTGTGGTTTGCTCACAGCTCAGGCAGAGGCACACACACACCCTGACATCCTCTCTGACTCCCAACTGCTTCTTCTCTCCCCGCCCAGGGCTGCTGCTGTCTTTTATATGCTACATTACATGCTACATATTTATAGTTTTTCCCCAATGCCTACTACCTATATTAAATGGTGCTTTTCTACTCTAAACCAATCTGTGAGTGCCAACATCACTAAGAACATGGAGGTAAGGAAGAAGAAAGAGGGAGGACAGGGCAGGCCCAAATCCCTCCATCTTAAAACTTCTGACCCCCATGTACAAGACTTAAAACCCCCCTGTACAGCACTCAAAAAATCTTCCCTCTACTTTGTGACTACTTCTACTCTAATATCTAAACTTTTCTGACTTCTTGTTCTTCCTGCAAGGTTGGTAAATTATTCCATGGTTCAAATCCAAAATCACAGCTGTTTCCAGCTGCCTGCCAGGGTCTCAAATGCTTCTGACCTGGGCCTGGAACCTCCAAAAATGTCTGAGGGACATTTTGAGTTCCAACAAGTAACTTCTCTGGTGTCCTCATGAATCTGAGGTGATTTTAGCTGGCAAACCAACTCACATGTCAGACAACAACTTGTGAGACATTTCAGATTGTTCCTGGTACTGTCTCCTGGGGGTTCCCAGGGGATTGCCAGGACAGGCACAACACACACTGTGTACAGGGCAGGATACCAGAGGGCACGTTTTGGCACAGAGGTGCTATCTGACTGGAGAAGGATATGCACCCCTGAAAGAAAATTCATTATTTTCACAGGCCAGAAAATGAAATGTTCTTTGCGTTGTTATTTCTGCTGAGTAGGGAACTGAACAAAAGTTCATTATATGATCTTCAGGACACCTCCAGATTTCTGAATCTTGCTTTAAACAGAGGAGCAAAAGCTTAGATTTCTATTAGTTTGATTACTAACAGGCAGATGAGGTCTTTCCATTATCTCCTTTTTTGCTGTACAGAAATCACAGAAGTAGTGAGGCAGAATACCCAGAATTTTAGATACTTGAGAAACATAAATGACAAAAAAGATGGATACTCTAAAACTGTACATCCCAGTTCTGAACCATGGCCTGTGATTTCAAATTTGTAATGATCTCTATTGCATTCAATTACTATCAACACAAGAAAAAGAACATTTACATTTGATGTTATAAGAACCTGTTGAAAGCTTAGTTTTGGTGCAGCAGTAGGAAGAATGAACATTCAAGGTTATATGTCAGAATGTTAAAAACTAAAGGGAAAAACCTTCTGCTAGGAAGTTAGACATTCTTTTTTCCTCCTCTTCCCTCCCAATTTCACCTTTGACTGCACTTGCAGAATTCTGTATCAAGCACAGATGAAAAGACTGAATGGAATTTCATAGAAATTTATTAATGAAGATTGTTCCCAGGTGAATGGCAGTATTATCCATCTTTTACAGGCAGGCAGATACAACAGTTTAAATTACTCAAAAAGAGTAGTTTAAAGACTCTTCTGGATTAAAGGTTTATTAGATTATGATATAGACCTAGATATAAGTGCCAACCATTTCACACACCTGAAAAAGCACATGTTTAAGTACTTCCATAAATTTGATAAGCAACTTCCTTTCCTTTGTGTCCAAACAAAACAAAAAGGATTCACCACTGAATTCTGAAGACCCAAGACATTTGCACCAACACTTTCACACTTTAAAGAGCTCATAAACAAACCCTCCATTACACCCTTACTTCGAAGATAAAGATTTCCTTGAGAGGGATGGAAGCAGACTGAAATAGAGGATTCCTTCCAATGGTCCAAAAATTTATTTGAAACTTAATTCACCCAAAGACAAAAGTGTTTCTAGCAGAAGGTGAAACATCAGCGACATTTCCTGAATCATCACACCTGTTCTCCTGCTGTAAGATTGAAACTCCAAGTGTTTGAACCTCACAAATCCTCTGCTCATATTAACCCAGAAACCTAATCCAGGACCAGAATAATAATGGAAGGGAGTAGCTTTTTTCTGTTTGAAAACAAAGCATAACATTGCTACATGATCAGTTTTGAAAATTCAACCTTTTAAAGTCTACAATGTAGAGAAAGCCCATGCTCCACAGCAGAGGAGTGTGGTGGTTAGTGGGCATCCCTTCAAGCATGTGAAAAGGGATGAAGTCCTGCGCAGGAAGACTTTAAATTATGAACAATCTGCCTCTTCAATACCCAAGGTAATGAAACATCTAAGGAATTCAAACAATTACAGAAGATAAAAGAACAATCAGTCATTAGCTTTCTCATTACTGCTTCAGCATGGATCAGAAAGGTGTGGAAAGAGGAAAGTCACATCACCATTTTTCTCCCCACATGTTGTGAATAAATCTATGTCATTTGGCCCAAATGTTAATACTACCCAAGCCCAGTTATCAGCCAGATATAAACTATTCACTTAATACCACTAACAAGTGAAATAAATACAGGTTGAAAAAAAAGTCATCATTTGTTTTCAGTTAAACTGGCAAACAAGTTACTTATATTTGCTGCTTCAGACTATTTTCCTAAGCATCATGAGGATGAATTTGGATACATTTGTTGTGTGCTTAACAGGCCAGTTTGGGACAGTCTGCCACCCATCTCCTTTGTGACAAGAAAGAGATGGAAACATGCTTTGGAAGTTTTACAGTGCCTGCCTTGTGTCACTGAGCAATGCACAGGCCTTCCAGCACTCAGGAGTTGTGTGGCTGTATGTAGATGTGTACAAGCAACAGAAACTATATAAAATAATGCAAACTGGCTGCTGGCAAAAATAAAAACTTCCTGTTTTCCAGTAGAATTTTGCCACAGGCTCTGTTATCAATATACTATCCTTAAAATAAATATCATCAGATAAACTTTAGAAGTAACAGAACTTGATAAACTATTTTCAGACAATCATACATTAGTGCTGTGGGCAAGCAGTCCCCAGTTAAACAGAACTGAGCTGCTGTGGGCAGTAAAACACAAGGCCTAAGGAAGAAGAAAAATATTTACTATATTATATTGCATAGGATATACCATATATTATAGGATATATTTAGTATAATATAGGATATATTTACTATATTATATTGCATATTTACTATATTATATTGCATAGGTAATATTGCAAAGGATATACCTGCAAGCTCAAGTGTTAGGCAAAACACATATATACACAGAGTGTTCTACAAGGATTCACTTTGTCTTGCAGATAATCTGGTATCCCAAGTGCCAAAGCGATCCTGTTCAGCACTAGGACTGCCCTGCTCAGCAGCCCATCAGTTAAGGCTATGTATCAGGGCCTTGTTCCTCAGTGGGGAGCACTGACTAGCCAGGAATGAGAAATAAAGCAGTTTCAACTGTATGGTGCTGGTGGATCTCAACACCTTCCACACAGACACCTGCTATAACAACATTTAAGGACCAAAGTCTCTGCAAGACTCAGGAATTTTTACATATTTTTGCACATGCAGCTTTGAGAGGGGCACTGCTACAGCCAGCTCTGTTCAGGTTCTGCCAGGCTCCTAGATCATGTCAGGGGCAGCACACCCCAACCCCCTGAGCCTCTCTGGCTCCTGAAGGAGTCCAAAGCACACCCTCCTGAGGCTGGACACAGCTGAGCTGGAAGAGATAACATTCAGGATTAAAGGCTTTCTGGTTCTGTTGTAACCTGCAGAGCAATTTCACACTCAGATTAACAAATAAGACTACACCAGATATTTTAGCAATGATCCCAGATATGTGCCAGAGGTTTCCAGGGCTGTCAGAAGAGCATTGCACCTCTGGAACTGCTGAAAAATGGGACTCTGCTGGGAGGGTGCTTCATGGCAGCTGCTGCATGTGGAAGAGGCAATATTGATGCACCATGAATGGACTTTGTAAAGGACTTTCTGGCAGTCACAGCATCACAGACCAGCAAGAGGCTGAAGAAAGAACCTTCCAGAATGCTCACATCTTCACTCAGTGTAGGAATTTTTCTGTAGCTTTAGAAACACAAATACACCTGTCTGACATGCCTGACAATGCCACTGTCAGACACCTTTCCCAAGAGTTTTTTTATATCAGATGTACCTGTAAAAAGATTTCCCAAGCAGATGTCAGTCTGGATTAATTTTATATTGCAGAGGGAATTCCAGATATTTCCAATGTCAGCTTTTTTCTTTTTTGCCTTTTTTTTCACCTTTTCTCTGCTTTTTTACATGCTTAAAGAAAATAAATTGTAATATCTCACAGTGTAATTGTGATATTTTACTGTGTATATTGTAATATCACAGTGAAATTGTAATATCACGTGCAGTTTGCCAGGACCTTTTCCTATGTCATTTGAGGTCCTTAGTTCAAATTAAACAACAAGATGTCAATACTCTCAAATTTCATGAACCATACAGCAACTTTTGGGCAAACTACATCAGTGAAAGTAATGCCAGTAATTTAAACCTGCAATGTCCAAATGGTGGGTTGGAATTCACTATATTAGAACCTACCACACCTAACTCTGCTTGCCAAAACACGTCTGGTTTTGACAACCGCAAAACTCTGGTTTCTTGGAAATCAGCTGACATTATTATCATCATTTCACTTAACTCACCTTCAGCAGGGAAATGTCTTTACTTGAACTGCTGTGATTTCTTCTGTATTCACTAGAAACAAGAAAGTAAATATTAAATTGTTTCTTAGAGTGACGTCATTTTCTGTTAGGTATATTTTTATTCACTACAATTTCTCAAACAATCTACTGTTCATCAAAAATTCACCAGGAATTTTTGTATGAAAACACAAAGTAAATTAAATAAATCTAATTAGTTCCAAGAACACACTACTCACGTACCAATAAAATACTTCATTGACTCTATGCGGGCTCAGAATATCAGCACAGGTTTTAGCAAAGATCACAACATTTTTTTGTGTGTTTGCATTCCACCAAACCAGGAATTGTCCAAGATCTTGGGAAATAAAATAATTCTAGGGATTGGTATCTTGCTAGCTCTGAGCAAAAGCGAAACAAAATGCGTCCTATTAGCTTGAAAGGCTTTTTTTTTTATTAGAGACTGCCTCTCATTATAGAACTGTAAAGCTGATCAAAATGGGATTTTGTCCCAGTTTTCTGCACGGAAAACAATTTTGTATATGCATTAAATAGAACTAAGGTGTGGCAGCAGAGGTTGACACTGGTATATAATCCAACCCTAAACCACAGGCAAAGTAAAAAATAAATAAAAACTTTGACAGCTGGCAAGAAAAAATTAAAATCAAACACAATACAGAGCTACACATTCAAAACTAGATAAATTGGGCTATATTGTGCCACATATTTTTGCAAGAAACAACATGTCTTTTGTGTGTGTATTATGTAAAACGTGCACAGGTACTATAGAAGAATGTAAAACAGTACATACATAAAAGTCCCTCACATATCTCTAAACCAGGACATTTCAGTTGAGGCAAAAAATCCTCAGATTGCAAAAGAGGGGAAAGCCAATGTGAAAAAGAATAAATCACATTTTACTTTCCTATAAAGGTACAATGTTCATACAAACACACACAGTTCCCTTTGACTCTACAGATTGCCACAAGCAAACTCTGCCTGGCAAACAGCAAGCTGTTAACTCCTGTAAAATAACAACACAATCCTCTTGACTGCAAAATTTGCATCAAAAATAATTAGAAAAAAGGCAGCACACATGTAATCCACTTAAAAGTGTTAACAAGGTATAGCAGAGTCTTAGTTGTGTCGCCAAACTCTGTTTTTAAATGTAACCAGAACATAACAGTAAAAATTAACCTAAAGCTTAACGGCTTATATAAGAATGCTTTAATAAAAAAATGCTACTGAGGTTATTGAACTGTACAATTAAACCCCTCCCACTAAATACTTTTCAGTGCAATTTCCATCTAAAGCTTATTCAGCAAACCAAAATGCCAATGCATTTCTTCAATTTCCACTTCTTTGAACCTGTTAATGTATGAATAAAATAGATTTATTCCTGTTATTTGCCACATATAACCCTCTTGTCTAAAAAGTAGCTTTAAATACAAAATTTCTGAGATACACATGAAACTGAAAAATATCTAAAGGATCATTTTGATTTTTTTCTGCAAGCTATGTTTGATTTACATCAATTAGATCTTTCACATAAGGTATCATATAACAGGAAGGCTAATAACCCAGAAATAACCTCATTAAAAAAGACAGCATATCGGTCTAAGCAGAATGAACTCTAAGCAGAAAAATTAGTGACCTGGAAAGTAGCAGGAAGAGGTAATAGCAATACAGAGAAAAAATACATTCCCATTAGCTAGTCAAAAGTAGAAATCACCAGCAATAAAGTAAAAATACAATAGAAGCATAAGGAGAACACTTAAAAATATTTTTACCTTTTGAAAATCTGCAACAGAAAATATATTTCCCCAAACTAAGATGCTGTCAAAAATTATTTTATTGCTATGAATTAGTCTGTGCTTTCTTTCTTTCTTTTTTTTTTTTTTTCAGATGCTTTAAACAGTCCTTGGCAGAATATTATTAGCAAGTCTAATACATTTATATTAAATTATCAGTGTATGATTCCAGTGTCTGTGGATTCATCTATTTTAAGATAAATGGTTAATAATGGAAACTCAAGTTGGATTTACATAGCCCTTGTCGAATGTTAGCTGCTTAGATTCAAAGTCTAGCCAAACATTTTCAAATAATTCTTATTAGTGTATTGACAATATTTTCAGAAAGCAATTTTTTAGTTTTGATAAAATGACACTTTCTCTAATTTTTTGTGAAATGTTTGATTAAATATGCAGGTCCTCCTACCTAATCCAGCTCAAATTTGCCAGTCTAAATGAGAACAAAAAGTACTTAAATCACCATTAAATTGCAAAGTTTCTCTTGCTTTTATTTGAAAAACTACCTATAGTTTACTTTCATTTCCAAAGCAAATTAATTCAAATAAAACTATTGGGTACTGCACATATGCAAATTACAGTAGTTTTCTTTACTTTTCAGTTTAATAGGTTTAAAGTCTGATGAGAGAAGGAAAAAAATCTCAGCATACATGAAGAAATTTTAATTATAGGCAAACCTCCAGTTTTTATTTTCTTTTACTTTACTTCACAATTTTTAATCCAGGAAAATAACCCCCTTTTTAGACACTCATCTCTGGATCAACAACTCAGCTGCACAAAGGCTTAATTAAACCATTTGGAATATTTTACTCCCCAAGTCTGTAGATTGTTCTAGGCCATGATTGCTCATTTTTAGCTCATTGCCTACAGAAGTACAGCAATATTATTTCTGCTGTGGCCACGTTTCCAGCAGCTGCTGCCATCACCAAGGGTAAAGGATTCAGATGGGGGAAAATAAAAAACCTGAAACCTCTGAGATTGCAGAGCTGGGCTTGGTCAGACCTGATCCAGAACAGGAGGGACTCTTTGGTGCCTTTTGGTGCTTTTCCATCCTTCCTCTGCAACAGAATGACACAATATACACCAGGAGACAGTGATGGACACAGACACGGGACTGTGAGGCAGAAAATTCATCAGTGGCGGAGAGGAACAAAACATTCGTGATTTTTATAGCTTTTCCTTTAGTTCCTAAAGCAAACAGATAACTCCCCTGAACATTTCTAACTGGGATGGGTTTCCAGTAGAAACCAGGGTGCCATCTTCTGCTATAGACTCACTGAAAACTCTTCCACCTCTCTTTTTGATAACACTGTTCCCTATAAGCCAGGTAAGAAACTGGGAATTCATGGCATGCAAGAAACACTTCCAAGCACCACCCTGCCCAGACCTTTTCTTTCCTTTTCCCAAGGCTGATTTCTCCACCTCACTCTGGTAGGAGAGGCTGGCCCATGGAATATGTAGCTAAATGTGAAAACACGCTAGTAAGCAATAATAGACATATCATGATCTGAAACAAGAGCAGTTACAGTCAAAGCAAATAAAATCACTAATTTGGGAGTGTTGGATATTTCTTCAAAGGTACACCAGACAAGCAGAAAGGGACATTTCTCTGCAGCCACCCCCAAGGGCAAAGCCAGCACTGGGAAAAAGAAAGCACCCACAGGTTTTGAATGCCAACATGAAAAAACACCACAGAGTCAGGCACGGACACATCACCAAATAAAGATCCTCTCTGAGACAATAAGCAGAGTGTAACATAGATAATTCTTGCTCCTAAAATCAAAATGCACTCTCAACTACTAGTTTTGGAGGCAACTGTGAGAAATCTTCTGGCAGAATTTCTCAGGCATCATCAAAAGTTAATAGGAGCTGGGCACTTAATTCCCCTTTATGACTTTCAAAAAAGATGTGGCCAGCTACTTTTAATTTATTAGGGAGCAGATTTGTAAAGACTTTTATTATAGAAGCAGTAAGGGGAGATATTTTTCCATAAAATATATGTAAATATGATTTATGAAAGACAAAAATATTACTGAAATGAGGGATAAATTGTTCCAAAACTTTATGTTCATAAAAGCTAGGTAAAAGTACATATTTCTTCAATATTTTTTCCCTCATACATGTTGGTATCTCTCCCAGGTATCTCAGAGGTGTATTCTCTGTATTCTACTCACCTTACACTTGTAAGTACATCTTTACTGAAGGCACCTGCTATGAAATTACAAAAGGAAACGAGGCTGAAGCACTATTGCACAGTTACTGATCAGGCTGCTGCTTGAAGATTAAAAAAAAATACCAGTGGAAATAATACTTGCAAACCTTAAAGAAGAATTTACTCCAGAAACCACCAAATTGGCATACAACTTACATCATATGAAAGTAACTTCTGAAAGATTTATTAATTTCTAAATAAAATGCTTCCTAGGAATAGCATTGCAAAAATAAATGTAATTTGGGATCTGTTAAGTGTAAAACAATTTACTTGAAATAGTCCTTTTCCAGGTTTTTCCTTTTTTTCCTCTGACATGATAGGAAACAGATGATATTTTACTATTAAGATCAAAGAGTCTGCAAAAAGAGAAGTTTGAAAAGGGGAAGAATGCCTTTCTCTCCCTGCACATTATGGTCAACATGCCCATGAACTCTGACAGTTCTTGGTATCAGCTGTACACCAAAATCCAGCAAGAGACAAGACTGAGCATCTCGGCTCAGATATTCCAAGGGATTTCAGGCAAGTACCTAATCCCTTTGAAAGTCTCCTTTTAATAGCTTGGTCAAAGATTATCATTAAATCCTCTTGAACTCCTCCCAGGTTCCTTCAGTTGAATCCAACAGTTACACTTTTAATTACACTGATTAGGAGGAAGGCAGATACATCTCTGAGATGGCTCATGTCTACTGGGCTTTGTTCTGTGGTTTTCATAGTACAAGTTCCAAGAAACAACCAAGACTCATATGAATAAGAACTTAACACTCGTTTCATCTCAAAAAGGCTCTGCTAAACAGCACTGGTCTTGGGAGTCAGATTTTGACTTGAAATTTTAATACACACTGGTCACCCTTGGGCCCTTACATTCACTCTGTGTGAGCTCTGAAATGATTAAACTGTGATGAACACTTTTGAAAAGCCAGTTGAAAATCCACAGTAGCAGTTTTCAATTGTCCAGTAAAGCAAACAAGAACACAGCCATTACTTTTGCAGCCAGCACTTTGCTTTCAGGAGGATTTATTTTGCAGAAGACTGTGT